GTGTCCCACAAGAGTGTCCCACAAGAGTGTCCCACAAGAGTGTCCCAAGAGTGTCCTACAGGAGTGTCCCACAAGAGTGTCCTACAAGAGTGTCCCACAAGGGTGTCCCACAAGTGTCCCACAAGAGTGCCCCACAAGAGTGTCCCACAACAGTGTCCTACAAGAGTTTCCTACAAGAGTGTCCTACAAGGGTGTCCTACAAGAGTGCCTCACAGAGTGTCCGACAAGAGTTTCCCATAAGAGTGACCGCAATGGCAGCCTACAAGAGTGTGCGACAAGAGTGTCCCGTATGAGTGTCCCACAAGAGTGTCCTACTAGAGTGTCCCACAAGAGTGTTTTTAGTTGTGGATTTCTCTGTATTATGTGTACGGTTATCAGTTTCACGTGCTTATTGTCGAGATTTTGGGACAATGCCATTGTTTCTTTCGTGCTGTGGATCTGCCAGAACCTTTACGCCAGTGCTTGATTTGAACGCAAAACGAAGACCCTTCATGACGAAGACGGAGCTTGGTGGTGAAGTCCCCAGCTCATGCTGCCTTGGTGGTGGAGTCCCCAGCGCATGATGTCCAACAGCGTGCCGGAGCGTGAAAAAGAGACTCTAACCGGCTGTGTCTCTTTCTATACACAGTGGATTGACATATGTGTTTGCATTCGGGTTCGTGGGCTCCATCTTGCTCCTTTTTTCTGACACTGGCTGGTCAGGCTCCTTTAGGTTTCTCAGGTGAGCTTGGATTGCCTAGCCAGTGGGAGGAGCTCTTCAAATATATCACTGACCATCACTTGGCTCAGCTGCTGGTTGAGCAACCAACTTGACTTATCCAGTGAAGGGCAATAGATGGCACTCACCAGGATTTCTTTGCCAGCATAGGAGCTGGGATCCCAGGAAATGCAGAGTTGATTTTGGCCACCAAAAGTCGACTTGAGAAATTGGCTGCGCAGCATCAGTCAATGTATGCCTCCCAATGCATCAGCCTGCTCTTGGCCAAATTTAGGTCTTCGGCAAGGCCTGATCTTGCCTTAAGTATTGGCAGGGCTGTCATTTCCTTTAGGCTCAAGTCCACAGCAAACCTGTCCAGCCAGGCACCCATGCTGTTCACCATGTGCGGTAGTGTTTGGAGGCATATGCACCTGTACAGGTTTTGCTGCCTAGCAACAGCCTTGGGGTGGCACCACAGCCATGTCATGAAGAACAGGAAGTCAATAAGCGCTACCCAAAGGAGTGGTGATGCACCTTCCCAGCCACATGGATTTACTCAGCCTGTTCCAGGTTTCAACAGCACAAGGGCAATTTTCCAGAAATTCCTGCCATACCCCCTCTGCACAGCCAGCTGCCTCTCTCAAATTGGAGCTCTTTGAATTTGAGTGCCCCTGCTGGGTCAATCAATTTGGCCATGATAGCCTCTGGCTCAGACATAAATATGATGCTGAGGGTGGCCAATCCCAACAACACCTCGACTGCTTTTTCCTTGTTGAGTGCTTTGAGCCCTCTGTTCTCCTCTCAGTCTCCGCATATCAACTTGCGACGCGGCGAAGAGGGAGAAATGCAAAAATGCTGTGTTTTTCAAGGGTGGTGTCGGTAATGCGCGCCGGGCGGACAGGCATAATCGACATTTCGTGGGTGCAGGGCACGCGCCCACAGCAAAGGCGGACAATGTGCTCCAAGATGATCTGACAGAGGCTCGCAAGATGACCCAACATAGGTCCCAGATATGGTACACTTACACATAGCCGCAAGATGACCCTACATAGGTCCCAGATATGGGAAACATAGCCCCTAGATGGGCCAAGATTGCCTCAAGATGTGGCAACATAGGCCCCACACAGTCTCAAAAAGAGAGAGAGAGAGAGAGACGGAGACGGAGACAGAGACAGAGACAGAGACAGAGAAGACAGAGACAGAGAAGACAGAGACAGAGAAGACAGAGACAGAGAAGACAGAGACAGAGAAGACAGAGACAGAGACAGAGACCGACAGAGACCGAGACGGAGACAGAGACAGAGACAGAGAGAGGAGAGGGAGAGAGAGAGAGAGAGACAGGACCCAGCCCTACACAGACCCAAGTGGGCCGCCCCGGCTGTTAGGCGTAAGCCTTTAAATATGTATATATATATATATACAGGCTTGCGAAGCACAAGGATAGAGAGCTCTTCTGCATAAAAGCTTGCTAGGGTCAATGCTGTCCTTGAATGGAACACACCCAGGCCTCTGATTACCATGCCCCCGAAACCTTAAAAACGGCCTCAAGCGAAGCAGTGGAGACACCTTTGAGGACGGTGGAGACATCGTCTTCCTAGCGATTGAGCCCATCATCAGATCTGGAGTGGTCAGGAGGAAAGCATTCGATGCCCACCCAGCAAACTCCAAAGTTTGTACAGAGGGTCTGGGTGGCCTTGGAGAATTATCATGATTTCATGGCACAAGTGGAGATGGTGACCTTGACTTCAAAAACCTGGCATAAGGAGCTCCCATTCAGTCCTTCTTTGCCAAGTAGGAGGTTGCCACGAAGCCAGCAGCACCAATCTTAGCAGGCAACCAGGACGACAAAAAACCATCTGAGATGCAATTGATCCAATGGCTGTCACTCGCCTATGACTTCCGGTTCCTGTGGCTCCGGGCCCAAAAGCCGCCCAGCAAGAGACCCGCAACTCCGCCCAAGACACCAGCCGTCGCGATGCTGTTCTCCTTGGTGACCTGCCCGCGCGCTGCCGCGCGCAACGAACCAAAGGAAGGGGGGTCCGCAGGCCGCGTGGCCGAAGGTGGTCAGACGGGGTGTTGACGCAAAATGCCACAAATCGCAAATGGCCTGGAATCTTGAGTCCAAACTCGGCTTTCCGCTCTTCCAAAACGATCTCTTCACCCAAATGCCTTCACTAGGGCCACTGATGAAGATCCTGAAGAAGAAGCAGCCTCTTCAGGTTCTCAATGAACAAATATCAGTCTCTTGGCTGCACAGTCAAAGAAACAAAGAGGTTTCTTCATGCTCCTTTGCTTCTCATTTCAGACTCAAGAACAGAAAGTCAATAGATTCAATAGAGTCCCCAAATGTCTTTGCAACAACCTACACTGTCTTTCACCAACCATACCTTGGGAGAAGAAGCACACGCGTGACAGGTGGCCACATTCTCATACTTGTCTCACACGTCTTTTACCTTTCAGCGCCTCAGCCTGGGCTGTGGTCTTGTTGTTTGTCCTGCGACTTGCGACGTCAAGCCATGTGGCAACGTGGCCATGTTGACAGACTTGACAGCCTCTTTTCGGCAAAGCCCTTCCCCCCCTCCTTGGGGCCAAACCAGTGAAGCAAGTGGGCACCTTCAAAAAGACAACCCTTCCGCTTCTGCTCAAAAAGAGCCTTTCAAACTCTGCGAGCTTGGTCAAACTGATTGCACTGCAAGGAAAATGTTGGAACATTTATCTTTAACAAAGGCTACCAGGACTAGTTGGCTTCAATTCTCAAAAGACTCCCTTCGCACCGCAAGCAGGGCCAGAAGAAGCAGAACGCCTCAAAGCGTAAGGGCGGCTCCACACCCTCTCATGGCATTTCGACAGTACAGGGATACTTGTCTCCACTCGGAACAGGGGCAAGAAGCGATGAAACACTGAAACATGATCCTAAGGTGCTGAACAAATGTGGGGCATAACCCGACCATGACCTGTCCATGACCCGACCATCTCACATCGGACAGAATGTCAAAGCATCATGTTCAGAGGCTGAGTCCAGATACATTGACAAATATATTCATTGGCTGAGCGCCAACAGGTGATGAAAAAAGTATATATATATATATAAACCAAGTTGGATCCATGCACTCCGAACTCAACCTAGTTGCAACGTGTGGTGAAATCTCTCGAAGAAGAAGCAGCGAAACGAGATCCCTCCCAGATGGAGGGACTGGTGGGCTCAGGGGCGTAAGATTAGGGGCTTATGGACTGCTGATCAGCGGCGACAAAATTTTGAGAACCCCTTTTGTTACCCTCCCAACCTCTTTTTAAACCAGTTTTTAAACCTCCACCCTTTTGTGTTAACCCCCCACCCTTTCATTTTCACCCTCGACCTTGCTTTTTTAACCCTCTACCCTTTCTTTCCAACCCTTGCACCTGAGTTCTTGACCCTTTTCTTTTTGACCCTCCACCTTTGACTCGGGCAGCCGTGGCGTGGTGCGTGATGGCTTTCCTGCTCGGAGTGGCTCGAAGAGCCGTGAAGGTGAGACAGCTATCAAAGGCCTCATGGGCGCCGGTGCCAGGTGTGCTTTTGGCGCCAGGTGCTTTGGGCCGATGCCGTGGTTCGTGGAGATGCCGTGGGTCGGATGCATATTCTTTGGGCTGTGTGGGCTGTCGCGAGTTGGGGGCGAGAGCTGAGAGAGGAGCGGTCATGTGCTTGCCATGCTGCAGGTGGTGGTGGGTGGGTGGCAGTGGAGGACATGGTGTGGACGGGCCCGCAAGAGAAAGGGCAAGGGCGCAAGAAGGTGAGAGGGCCATGGTGGTGCAACAGTGGTTCACCCGCATTTTTTGTCCATTTAGTGGACAAAAAACACTGGAACTTCGAGGGCAGCTGGTTGGTCCACGGAAACAAAGTACATGGCCACGCAACTATCACAAAGTTTGCTCCGCTGAGCTTGGAGGAGTATGCGGAATTGCGGACAAAGCACAGAGTCCACGCAAAGGACTTGCCCTACTGAACCACCTTTTGCTTGTGGTTAGCCAATGTGACCCGGTTGCCTGCACCGGTTGCGTTTACCAAGCTGCTTGGGTGTATCGGATGGACACGGATCCAGTACCTAATGCCGGCCAAGTACAGGCTACGGTGTCACGATGCGGGGACGCAAAGGCGGAGGCTAACTGCGTGGAGACTGGTGTTGTGTTGGCTGTCTACGACAGGTGTGACGGGGAGTCTGCCAAGGTCAATGCCATGCCGCTCGGCCATGCCCCTGCATGTTCCTGACCGCTTTGCCACTGCATGTTCCTCACCCAAAAAAAATCTGATGACCGGTCGTACCCATCACGCGCTTTGCCCCTGCCCCAAAGTCCCCCGGGAGGGCTTCGGTTAAAAGACAAGGTTCAAAACACTGGTTTGGGAAGGGTTTAAAAGGAGGCTTTCCGGGGGTGCAGAAACAAGCGGCAGATTTTAAAAATGACAGGGTTGGGTTATAAAAAATAGGTGGAGTGTTTTAATAAACACGGAGCCCAAAAATTTTCACACCCTCAATCTTGCTAACTAAAGCAAGTCCATGTCCAGCTAGCATATACTGCGTGGGACAAGCTGTTCCACCCATTTCTTGCCCGGTGTTTTCCATGCACAACGAGATTGCAGTCAGTTGGAAGCAAATTGCGGGTTAAACTCAGTTCCAATGTCTTGCTTGGTCTTGACTCACATTCTCTGTCCTTAAGAGCTGCTCAGCTGCTCCCATACATTGTTTCCAGCATGTCTTAAGGCTTTTACACATGTACAAATGTGACTAAGTCAACCTGGATGCCAGTCAATTGCAAGGTTACTCACTTCTTTTCTGACAGAGTCTGTGTGTGTCTTTGCACATGTAATCAAGTGTAAATTATGTGCTCTTTCATTGTGGAGAGATTTGTCTTGGCAACTGTGTTGCTACCCGCAAGGACAACGCGAATCTACTCAACAGTGGCCACAACCACAATAAGTTGTGTCCTTGGCTTTGTCCAAACTGAAGTCTCCTTCAAAAAGAGCTAGACGCGCTACGAGATGCTGGCACTTCTAAAATACACTGAAACACGAAGGAATAAAGGTGTTAGAATCATATGTATATATATAATATAATCTTGTTTTATATGTTTTTTGTTACTCCGAAAACAAATCCCATGTGAGCTCCATGGCAGCCTGGGTAAGAAACCATTCCGTAACGTGGTTGCATGCAAGCGCCATTTTTGACGCTTCGAGCTTAGCGGCTTAGCATTGGTCTGCACCATGTGAAGTTTGTGTCCCAACAGCTTTCCGAAGGCTTGGGTTCAGGCTGACTGCACGGATCTGGCGACCTCGGGTACATCCAATTTGGATGGCCTGATGTGTACTCTGCTTGGAAGGTATGCATACACAAAATGCACAGCACCAGGTCCAACAGCGACATGGCAACAAAGTCAATTCCTGCGAATTTCCCATCGCCGCCTTTGGCGATGTTGAAGCATGTGTACAAAGAGGGGAAGACACAATTGCTGCCCAATTGAAAAGCAGATTCAAATACCCAGCAAGAATGTATCTCGGAAAACAAAATAAGAGACACAATCAAAGACTCATTGGCATCACCACATTCCCGATTCGGTCAATGTATCTGCAGACATTGTGAAAACACCCTGTCATCAGTACCGACTAATTTCGGGAAATGATTGGTTGGACTTGCTCTGCACAAGAGAAATGAGGACTATGTTTCATACGTAAACCGTCAACCCCATCTTTGCAAAGGACAACACACCTACAAAAAGAACCAAAGCAAAATGCGTGGTTTCAAGTTTCACCGTGGACGTTGGGCCCCTTACCATTCCCCTTTCATGCAAGCACTGGTTCTAGCCCACCAAGCAGGGCTACACACTTGTCCATCCCGCCTCCGAAAGTGGCCATGTCTGGAGTCCTGGTCACAACTTTGCAACCAGATCCAGCGGACATGGATTCGGAATGGGAGAGTTTCAGTGAGCCTCAGCTTTCTCACGAGGGCTCCCGGTGTCAAAAAAAACACACCTTGCTACTTGCTATCCCCCATTGTGGATGTACGTTTTGACACCCCAACGGAAGCGCAAAATGTCGGTTTCCGTCCAGGCCATCTTGCTGTCTTTGCATAACCACAAAATGACCAAGTGAGCAATACAAAAGACTTTTGAAAGTGCATGTGCATGCTGACAAGAACTACGTTGAGTATCTTACTTTCTCTTGTTCTTCTTGTCATCGATATTTCATAACAGGTGCGATTCATAACACTGAAAATGGAGAACTTGTTTTGTTCGCTTCAACCACTCTGACAGCTTCATCTGTGACTACAACTGCTATGACTTCCAGAAACTCAATGCAAGCTCTGTACAAGAGGTTTCACGACAAGTAAACCCCATCTTTGCCAATTCAGAATTGGTCTTTAGATGACTTTTGTGAGGAGACACCTGGGATTACTGATCCATTTTCATGATCTTCAGGCTGTTCATTTCGTCCTTCTATATATGTAGATATAATATCCTATAATATATAACAATCAATAGCGTTGAAAGTCTGAACCACGCAATTCAACTCCAAATAACTTTGATTTCAACATGATCGAACAAAGCAGCAACAGAGTGCTGAGACATCTTGGAACTTTCGCAGTTAAAAAGAGAATTGTACTTGTTTGAGGCAATCCGTACAGCCGCCGTGAGCCGCCAGACGTTGTCCGTTTCGCCTTCGAAGTCATGTGCTGGGTGTCGTGCGTTGTGCGGTGTTGGGCGGTGTTGGTCTCCGTAACATTCAGTGCAAATGTTTCCCAACGGAGACCATGTCCCTTGAGGGCCCTGGAAGGTAAAGATTATGAAACTGCGATGATAGACTATGAGATTTTTGCTTCGTGTTTCGACCAAAAATGAAAACGATAGGATACGATTTCTCTCAGGAGCGTGCCCGTGCGTCTAGCATTGAAAACAAACGCTATGCACGACGAAGAACACGGTGCATCTGCAAAACAAAGAAACATTCAAAAATTAAGCAGCAAAAAAAT